GCAAAAAGTTATTGGTGCATAAGAGATAAAGAAAACTCTAAAGAATATAGAAATATCAGATATAAGGAGCAGCTACTACCTGTAGGGCTGACAAGAACACCTAGAAGAGTCCTTTCAAAACCCAGACACACTCTAGGGCTAAGATTCAGACCTTTTGACGAGGACACATCTGTAGCTCTCTGTAGCTATCTGAATAGCAGGTGGACCCTACTCTAAATTTGCTTTCTGGAACTTGCCAGAAATCCACACTCCAGAAGTCGCTGGAAATTCATCCTTTGAGGAGCCATATCAAGCTGTTCAGAGAGGTGTCTCATCAGAGGCACTCACTCCAAAACCATCTAAAGGATGTTCTGGAGGAAGCTGCTGGCTGCTGAGTGCGGCTACTTGGTGCTGAGCTGCAGGAACCTGTCCAGCACGCACACCAGAACCAGGAAGGAAAACCCTCTCCTCCTGCAATGTCTCTCCAGCACCCTCTGTTGACAACACTTTTTATTGTTGAAAAATATTTAAAGGGCCCAGATCCATTTTCACTGAGCAGGTCAACAGGGTGAACTTGGAGCTGAGGCAATAAACCAATAATACCTACATTTACTGCTAAATTCCCATATTCTGGCACATATTAGGTGCTCAATAAATATTTGGTGAAGTAATAAATGATTTATAACATCAAACCTAAGTGAAAAGTGTGCTTGCTTGACATATGTCAGTTCAAGACTAAAACCTTCAGGCCTAGCTTCCAATATGAATGCTGCCAAACCCCTCCCACAGGAAAACTCCGGAGCCCCCCACTCTGCGGTAGGGATCAGACAAGCCCCCAAATGACTTCAGAGTTTGGCTCAACAGTTTGTTTGTGAGAAGTGCAGTGAGAGACACACAGGCAGAGAGTACGGGAGGACACAAAGTAGGCATGAGCCCCTCTCACTTTCTGTGTCCAGACTAGGCCTGAGCCACCAGTTGCTTCACTTAGCATCTTTCTGAGACACAGCTGTGAGTTATGTAGATCTGTCACATGGCCAAAATGTGAAACATATCCAAGGGCTATATTTTAAAATTGTATTTAGTAGAAAATAAAGATTTCTCTAGCTACTTTTCTGTTGATGCAAACTGTCCAGAGAAATTAGCAGAAAGGTCCCTGCTACAATCTATTTGATATTTCCTAACAAAGCAAAGTTTCCCCTTTGTCCACTGACCCTTTCAATAGCTCTTCAGGCTCTATTATTAGAACCCTCGTTTCCTGTCCTGGGAAATAAGTGCACAGAATTTCAATAAATATGACTCAAATGATGCAGCTTTCTATATGGACACAATGTGGTATTCATTCATTAATGCCATCAGTAAATACTGAGCACCAAATATCAGACAGTGGGCATTTAGAGCCCAACCATGAACATAACTAAGTCCCTCTTCTTGTGGAATTGCCAAAGGAGTCCTCCACCCTCTTATTTTGGGGATGGAGGAGAGAATATCTGCTGAACTGCAACATTCTGTGAACTCTAGTTCTGGGTTTTTAGTAAGAAACTAGAGGCAGATGAAGACCATCACAGCTTGCCTTTGCGCCAGCCCTCCACGGCGGCCAGTGCAGGAGGTCCAGAGAATGTGCTACGTCGGACACTAAGTCATCGATCCCTTCTCTAAGGAAAGGCATATCATTAAGAAAAATGGTTTTCTACTAGTTCTGAACTAACAGCACCACCTCGGCCAACATCTCAAGTTACAGTGGGAAAAAGAAACTTACATACGAACGCGCAAAACCCAGACCATGACATTAGCCAACCTCCTACCTGACTTCCTCCGAACTCTTCCCAGTCCCCAAAGGTTAGAGGCTCCCTCGGGAAGGCTGTCCCCAGCTGGACCGGGGACAAACGGTGGAGAGGCTTTCTGGAGCAGGGCCATTTCCCAGGCCCCTTCCCTAGGGCCGCCCCTCCCCCAGCTTCTGTCCCCGGGCCGCCCCCACCTTCCCGCCGTCTCTGTCTCAACCGGGACAGATGTGACTCGCTCCTCCAAAGAGCGGGAAGATGAAGGGTGGCCTTCGTGCACATCAGGGTGGGGAGGCCCCGGGGCGTGCAGGGGCGTTGGCTTCCCCGTACCCGGGTCTGGCCCCCGAGGGCCTGCTCTAGTGCGGACCGACAGTCTGCGGGGTTCGGGTGGCCCCTCGGCCAAGCATCTTTTGAAATCCAGTCACCTCCCGCCCCCCAGCCTTTCAGTCGCACCCGGAGACCCCACGGTCACGCCCCCGCGCCCCCCGGGCGGAGCGTCTGGGGCGTTTTCTTCCCGAGGTGGTTCGGGGGAGGCGGCCCCGTCGGGGACTCGGAGGGAGGCGGTCCCCACCCGCGCCCCCCGCCCGGCCGGGGTGTCGCGACTCGGTCGAAGGCTCTGAACAAGAACAGGGGCCGGAGTCCGCGTTCACACGGAAAATGATGCCGGCTCCAGCGGCGCGTAAAATTGATGTGAGGCGGACGAAGTGGGATCGGCGTGATCCTCCCTCTCGTCTCCACAGGGGTTTCGGCGCGTTCCACAGGCCGAGCTTGTCTCTTTAAGGAGACATCGGACCCTAATTAGTCCGCATTCCCGGCGCGGCCGCGGAGCGAGGGGCCGAGGCTGTATGGGTTGGGAGGGGGTGGGCGGGAGCACGAGACTCGGAAGGACGTCTTCTGACCGGCCTCCGGGCTCACCGCCCTCCACCCCCTTTATTCTGCCTCCACCAACACCTAGTTCTGAAGATGCAGCCCGGGCAGGAACCACGGCAGCAGTCGCCGCACCTCCTCGCCCCACGTTACTTTGATTGACAGCTGAACAAATGTTTCGCCGGTTCGAACGCTCGCGCTAAGGTACGTCAGCCAAGGCGAAGCTCCGCCTTGGGCGGGCCACCTCCGCCCCGCCTCCGCGAACCCCATCTCTTTTCGTTCATTGGTCAGAGCCAGGGGCGACGTTCGGCCCCCACGTGGGTTCCAGCCCAGTTGGCTCCTCCTCCCTGCCTCCCCATTTGTCAACAGTGAAATGATGGGCAGTAACACAGAACCACGATTAATGTTCATCCATCTCTGATTGGTGGTTGGAGACGCCTCACGCGCAGGGGGTGGGCGGGGCGCTTGGCGAGCGCCCCAGAGCGGTCGCGTGGCCGGCCGGTGATTGTAGTCAATCTGGCTGTATTCTGGAGCCACGGTCGCCCCGGGCGGACTACATCTCCCGGGATGCACCGCGGTCCCTCCACGTACTGTTGTGAATATGTATCAGAATGTTAATGATTAGCTGCTGCTAAATTTGGTCAAAGAAGTCACCTACACAGAGCGTGTTGTTAGAGCTGCTCTGAGCGGGTGTTTGGGCTGTTGGCGGCTTTCGTCCCCCTCTGTCACACGCTTGCATATTATTTTGAGGTGGTGTCGCAGAGTTTGAAAGGAGAGAGAATTAAAAAAAAACAAGCCGCAAGCGTTTCACTCTTTTATTTTTATAATCCCCTTCAATTAGGGGTTAAAAAAAAAGAAAAGAAAACAGGAAGGAAGAAAAAGAAGGAAATGAGATGTGGTAAAAGAAGCTAAAAGGTGCCTTTTGAGAGATCGTGGCTGTGAAGTGAGAAAAAGCTCCAGAGGAACCAAACGGCAGCGCCGAGCGCCCTTCCGAACCCCGGAGTTGGCGTTCGCTGGGAGGGCAGAAGAGACCGTTCATTCGGAGGAACCGCGGCCCGTTCAAAGACAAATAAAACAAAGTTTGGAGCGGGACGCGCAGCGGCGGGCGGCGGGGCGTGGAGCCCGCACTCGGCGGCCGGCTGAGCGGCGCGGGGCCGGGCGGG